TCGAACGTGTTATAGGTGTAATAAAAGGTGCAAAAAATAATATATTTCAATACCTTCTTACAATAGAGTTTATTCTTATGAACATCTATAGGTAGTTACGTAGTATTCACGAAGGGTATTGTCCAAATTACAAGAAACTTAGCTTTTATGTTAAAAATCTAGCCAATGAAATTTCGTTTTTCTTACTTTAGCAGAATAACCTACTGCACCGAAATCTACCTAAGCCAGTCACGCCACAGCCTTCACAGAGCACGCTCCGATCAAGAATAAAGCACCGTTTTCCATCAATCTTCTGCGTGATTCATTTTCAACCTTGCTTTAGCATTAAGTTGCAGTGTATCATCGTTATATTATACGTACATCGAAAAATCGCGTTAAATCGGTATACAATATCTAATATTCAACCATTCGTCAGCTGTACGAAAATACGTGACAGCTGAGGTGGGGCGCGATCAATCAAATTACCTTATTTTCATGGGACTTGTGAGCGGTGGACAATACTCCGCTTAGATAGAAAGATGACTAGCGATTGGTATGTGACCGCATCGGCCATTAACGCGCGACCATCTAGAATGCGTGTGCGTGAGGCGTGTCTTACCGACTGCGACCAATCGTACGCGCATTCTTTCCGCTCGTCATCTCATCTCTGCACAGTATGCCCCACTACCCGACATCCCCACTTCGCGTCACAAGTATTTTCGTAATTGGTCGAATCGCTTATCGAATCAGTGACTTCAAAACAGTGGCATAGACTCCAATACCTATGGGTGGGGATTAGGCTAGACATTAGGAGTGGGGTCAGGCGGAGCAAACGAAGATCCCATTGCTTCTTTCCTGTATCGCATGCCATCTTCTCGCGCATTATAGGAACAAGCTACAAAGCGATAGATTTGTCAAAGAAAAAGAAAAAAGATTTCGATAATAATAGCTGGTAATAGTTAAGGCGTGATTTAAGCTTGAACGATTGACAAAGTCGAACACTAGTAAAGATACGACGAGGTGCAGGCTGCGATAAAAAGGTGGAAAGCTTCTTCGAAAGACGGAGAGTTAGTCAAGGGTTGATTAATCGCTTGGATATCGATTAAGCCAGCACGACACGCGGTTACGTTAACGCTTCAGTTTCGTGCAAGTAACCAGCCATGATCGAGAGACGTTCACGCGTAATTTCACTAGGAAGGAAGCGTCTCGGACCGAACTAGTACCTCCCTCCTACTTGCTGACAGTTATAGGACGTCTCGTTTGTAACTGTCGACGCGACAGGATCGCAGCTTAAAGCGGCGAGATGTATCCAGGGAAAATGAAGGAGGGAAAGGGGAGTTGCCAACAGCCGGTGCCGAGATACGCCGAGAAATATTGGATTCGACGCGGCTCGGCAACAACACGACGATGCCATGCCGATCCTGAATGCAGCCAAAAACAAAAAAAAAAACAAAAAAAAAAATAGAAAATAAAGGAAAAACAGAAAGAATAAATAAATCGAGCGGCCAAATCGAGGTTTGCGAAAGCTCTTTCCTCTGTCGAAAAAAAAAGACAAATTTATTTGCTTTTCCGTTTTGACGAACGCACGCTCGCTACGGAGGGAGCTACTATGCGCACACTCGTTCGATCAATGGCTGTCGAGAAGGTACGATATTCACCAATGTAAAATAGATTAATGGAGTAAATATCATATTTAATTTTATTTCGGCTTTTTGATGGAGCGAAATTGCTAACGAACGCGTTAAATATCAAAAGCAGCAAAAGATTTCATTACGCGACGTATACAATTAGATACATCTCTTGATTTTATATTAAATTGGATAAATTGAAAAGTTATACAGTTACTTCATAAGTTACTTCATCATTTAAAAATTGGTACCTTTTTTTATGATTAAAAAAATTTATTACCATACGTAGAGTGAATTGCGGCATTCACGATCGTAGCTACAAGAACAAAATTAGAGTAATTATGGAATCCTCAGAATTTAGGTGGCCAGACGTTTCATTAACGCACTTCGTCAGGAATAAGCAAGAGGAAAATCTGAAACCGTCGAAAAATCTAATGGAAGATATCGGTAAGGATGAGCTATGAATTGTAAAGAGACAAAGTTCCAAATGGATGTAACATCGTAAGTCGTAAACGTCTTATTGTCTCCCCTCCCAAATGCTATTTATCGAAGATAAAAAAGAAGAAGAAAAAGAGAAAAAAGCCGCATCACCGAAGTAAACGAAGGGAAACAGTGACGAAAGGAAAACCGTGTCGAGGAGAAAGGAGCCGGGGAGAACGGTAAGACGAGCCGCGGGTGGTAGGAGCAAATTAAGGAATAAAATAACCGAGGACGAAGTTGACGCGGAAAAATAGGTTGCGCAAGCGAATGAACGAACAGAGAAGAAAGCGCGCGCGCCAAAGAAACTACGGCAAATCGGTTCGTTAAACATTCTCGGAAAAAGAAAAGTCGACGAATACTCGATACTACGTTAAGCACCGTTCTCTATGTTGCCTCGACTTTGTGGCTCACAAGGGAAGTACAAAACCTTCTGTATTTCGTTAGTAGATTTTATCATGCTTCATATTTGCAAATCTATCCAATTACAAGGATAGTCGTTAAATATTTGGTCGAAACGTTTATGACTGAATGTGTTTAGTACGAGCTGAAAGTGTTCCTTCTGAATGATCGCAACGTATGAAGAAAAAAGAAATAGCCATCTACAATCGTTAATTATAAAAGAAGATGAAACTTTCTCTAAAGTAAACATCGGTAACGGACCAAATCTTGCATCGGAGATACGAATCAACGATTAATGAAAGGACTTAATTATTCCCACAGATAACTACATCAATAATATTTCTCGCTCCGGTATTCGTCGAAGCGAGAAGCCGACGAACGAGTAATAATAAACGATACCGTCGATAATTGTTGCGTTACAGGAATATATTTACCGTGCATCGTAGCGCGGGAACGTTGCGCGTGGTCAGTCGTTCTCCTGTATGTAGGACGTACAGCTATATCTCTCTTTCTCTCTCCGTGCGATCATATTTTCGACCATTATTACCGCGTCGCGTCGAGTTATTGCCGTGGCATCAATAATTAATAACAAGCTCGATCCGTCGGCATATTTGCGCATGTTGCAATGGAAGTGTTTATCGAACAGAAAGAAGAGAAAAGGAAGTAGGTACGTGTAATAATTAATAATAAAGGATGAAAGTAAATAGAAATTTGCTGCAGGATAGATAATTACTTAAATTTAAACAAGATAAAGAAGCCGAGATAAACAACGATCTACGGTCAGTAGGCAACTATCAAAATATCCTATAAACGAAAATCAAAGTTTTGCTTTCGAAACTGCAAACGTTTTACACCCACCAACTTCCGTTCTTCAAGTCGCGTTCGCACAGATTTCTTTCGGTACATTTCCTTGATTTTTACGTCGATTCGGTCGGCCGAGCCAAAGTTCAAGCCAAAGGGCAAAATTCACGATTCTCGAGAGAACCTTTCGGATAACGGGCGTGAAACGTCAGGTGATCCTGGGAATCGCGGTCGCAGACGATCGGAATGTCGTGGACTTAGAGATCGGATCGAACGACCGGCCGACCAGTTGGCCACCGAGACTCCGGCTTTAATCGAATTCTCGGAGTAGTTGCGCCAAGTCGGAGAACTTTCGTGTTGAAGACAATGCGCGTCATAGGGCAGCGAGCACGAGAACGATTACGAGCACCTTGGCCGCTTAGCAAAGCCGAGTTTTCAATCGCGAAACAATGACAAACTTCCTCGGGCTTTGGGACTCGAATCTCCAAACGTATTACTCTTAATTGTTACAATATTACTGTACCCTGTAAGTGGTACAAACTTGCCTTTTAAACAGAGAACATTATAGGCGGTACGTTTGCGATCGTTTTGTGATGAGAAAACGATAAGTGAAAGAAAAACAGTGTTAACGCAAGCTCCGTGATAGCAGAGAAAATCAATGTCTATTCGAGGAAAATCCAAAATCTACGTATCCGTCCAATTTGATTACATGCAGCTGCGCTTGATCGCGTAAAGATGCATACTACGAACCATCCGGTGGGACCAACAGGAAATGCAACTACCAACGAAAGCACAGACGCGTACCCGATACATTATACGACACTCGGGGAATACCTATCGACCCGTCTTCCCTCTACGGTCTTTCGAAAAGAGGAATCGCGCGAAAATCGTTATCCCCTCGAATCCATTTTCTCCGCGAAATATCAACTACACTGTTTCGCCATGTTTCTACGCGAATTAAACTTTCCAACTTTCCAACCAAGATGGTTTGGGGTCTAGAACAAAGCCTGATAACTTACCGCATCATTAGATGATAAGCAATTAAGGACTATCTACAGTAAAATGTGCGTAAAAGGTTGCTAAAGGTTAGCAATATACGCTCGAAAATTATTAATTACCCATAGTGATCTGGATTATCACAGCTTTTAGTATTTCATTAATTTGCATCATTAGTAACAATGATGATAATAATAATCCATTAATTTATGTTATTAATAATTCATTAATATATGGTCCAAGTTTTGCATAATTATAAAGGAACATCGAAAATAGAATCATGACGCGTACCAGCTCGAAATAGAATTAAAAATTTGCGTTCACAACTTTGCAGAGTACATTATGGTGTAGTAGTAAAATATTACCTATGCTGAACCAAGTGTTTATAGGTTTGTTACAAAATTTTCGACGCGATATCCTCTCTTATTTCAAACTTACTTTTCCCTAACAATCCTATAGGCCTGGCTCAAAGATTGAAAATATTATAAAGCTGCATCGATCGTTTGGAGGCGAGAATTTGTTTCGACAACAACAAAACACAAGGTACAGAAAGGAAGGAAATTTCGCTATCCAGCTACCGTTCGCTGCTGAATATCTCATCGAAAAACGCTTGAAAAGACACGCCTCGAGATCAAGACGTTGCTAGTACTTTCTTCTCCCATCCGAGTAACGAGAGGTGAAGAGAAAAAAAGAAAAAGAAGAAAAAAGAGGACTCACCCGATTTCTCGTCAACGGTGGAAGCGATCCCAGCGACGTTGGAGACAGCCTTCGTTAGTCCGACGAGTAACAGTACACTCCACATGTTCTCTCGTTCGTTGTTTCTCGTTATCCTCGTCACGAATCCCACAGAGCACTCGTACGCGAACAGGCAAAAGCAAACGACGAATGGTTTCAATCGAGACTTGCTGTTAGGTCATCCTCGTACAGTATCCGGTTCACTCGCGACTTCCTGCACTTTTATCTTACGCACTTCCGACCTCATTTTTTCTACCATCGTCCACGATCCATGATCGACATTTTTCCTTTTGCCTCGTCGAAATATACAGGACGAAATAGAACGAGAAATAAATTGATTTCTCGCATTAACGTTCGCCTGATTCTGGCACCACTAATCCGACGCCTCTTGTTTTTCCTCTTCGGTTAAACGCTAATTAAAGCAGCCAGCACCGCATCCACAACCGCGTACCGCAACCCCTCCTTCACCGTCTCCTCTCTTTTTTTCCTCCTGCCTCTCATCCACCAGCTATATTAAAGCTCGCCGGACACGCGTCCCACGCGCTTCCGACCTAACCGCTCGCCACTTCCGCCGATAGCCTGCAACGACCGGCATGATAGCCGTAATCAACGGTGACCATGCTACGTGTCCACCGAGGCCGCAGAATTCACCGTAGCAACACAGCCGGTTCAGAAAGTAGCGTTCAACCGACTGCCACCTGGACAACTTACACCTGAGCTCGCTTCGTCTATCGCCTCTGCCGCGATCGCGATCACGATCACGATCACGATCACAACGGCACCGTTCACAATTTTAAACGCGTTGCCAGCTTTTCGGGGCATCTATGTATTCTGAACGTATCCTTAAATTCTGCAGCTTCTCGGAACGCTTTTAACCCTTTAAGCTGGCTGTCTATACACTCCACCCTTCGTAACGACGATGCCGTGTATAGGTACGTAACGCGCAAAGTTTTGCCAAACGAACTTTGAATGTTATTATAATTACTGTTGGGAGTAAAGCTTTTCCACAGGCTTTCAACCCTTCAAACTAGACGTCCGTACGGTGTATACTTTCTAAACTGTTCGTCTATGACCGTCAAGTTTCGACCAAGCGATCGAAAATTGAATTTTGCTTTTCTTTCTCTATATAGATTTTCAAGATGATTCCATCCCGCGAAGGGTAATTGCACGCTTCACAGATATTTCCATTCGAGAGGAGTATCGAGTTCTCTAATTACTCCCATGTGGAGAACTTTCTAGGATGTTTTCAAACCTTCGAACTAGCCATTCGTACGCCATTTGCGTTTATGGGCATCATCGGTTGTATGGCTTTTAAGGGTTGGCCAAATGATCGAAAATCGCTTCGTGTGGAGGAATCAAATTAATTAGTAACAAGATTTCGAATGAAAAATCATTTCAACATGAGCGAAGCGGGTGTACGTTGAAAAATCTTTTTCTGATGGTTAATTCGTGGACGTTATTTCATAATTCAAAGAAAAGATGAAGTACTGCGGGGAGGTTTTCGATCACGTTGGCTCGCCACTGATTTTCGGTTCGCCTGGAATAGGCAACGACACGAGACAGGCCTGCAATCTATTCGAAATCGATCCGAGCGAAGATATTGTCGAATATCAACCCTTATATCATCGATATCAGCCGACATATAAACCGACCATAATCACTGAAAATCCTCGAGTCTTTCCTTTCAATTTTCGCGCGCTTTTCTTTACACTCTTCCTTTCACAGCATCAAGCAAGAAATATTGTCGCGAAATATCATCGTTTGCTCGTCGATCGTAGAATCTTCCTTCACTACCCATTGACACGTGTTTGAAACAACTTTCAGTCATTTCATCGATAAATCCTTCGATCACTGAGCAGCAGAAACGAACACTCGCGGATCAAGAATTAATCAAGCGGTTGTTTTCTTTCTTTTTTTCTTTGCATCGGGTTTGCGGGGGTGGCAGAGGAAACAGCGCGCGTAAAGAGAAAAGTCGACGACGCAGATCGACGCGACGCTACATAAAAATGAGGAACACGTGGTCCTCCACCGACGGCGGACGGCACACTGGCGAAGAAGACGAGCAAACGGCGCGGCGACGGACGCGCAGCCTGCAAAGCCTCCCTAGGAGGTGGTGGTGTCGGAGGAAAATCCGCGAGTGGGGTGAAAGGGGTGAAAAGGGGTGAAAAGGGATTCGTCGCGTACACCATGCACCCTGCACCCTCCTGCTGCTCTCCTCTCTACCCCTCTCCTCTCACTTTACCCCTTTGATGCTAAGCTTGAACGGGATGTTTGTTCTACACGGAAGGACGTACATTCGAATAATACTACTTGCTGGTAAACATTCGCGAAAGGGGTAATGGGGCCCACATACGTTCTACGGTGTTCGATATCGTGTCTTGCTTTTGTATTATAGAATTTAATTAAACATTAGATTGTCGTGAATAGAATAACCAATTTATTCAGGAAACTATCTGCATCAAGACTATATTTCTCTTTCTTTGTTCAATATTTGAAAGTTCGTGAAAGAAACTATAGTTAAATGAAAATAATCTACGATATTTATCGAATATAAAATGTTCCGACTGAAAATTTATGATTTTCGTTTCTTTACTTCAAAGCACTCGTTGAAGATTGTGGAGCGCGTTGAACAATCGAAAAAGTTCGCAAACAAAATTCGATTTGTTCGCGAATTTTGCATCTCGCGATAGAAAGAGAACGAATCGGAGAACGTCGGCACACAGCTAAGGGGTTGCTGTTGCCTATATTCGTTCATCTCCGAAAACACTCACTACAGTAGCTTTGTATTTACTCTGAAACTATAGATTCGTGTACAGATTCGTGTTTTCCTTTCGAATAGCATATTTTCTCGATTCCATAGCCGGCGATCGATTTCACGTGCGTAAATATTTCGAAACCTTTCGCTGGAAGTTACGTTTGAATCTGTACGGTAAAAAAATTCATCTAACGATAAATTGAATCGAATTAAATATTAATTCGATAATCTAATATGTAAAGTGTTCATCTAAATAACGTCAACGTTAATTGAGACGATTGCTTCGAAACTTGTCCGGATGAAAGAAAACGAAGGGTCGTCCGACAAAACACGCTTCTCGATAGCGGTGTTTAGATAATTGTTCACACTCCGGTAGTCGACGCGGACGAGTGTTTGCTTTCTGTTCAATGTCGAAGACGGTTCATAGTGGCTTAAGAGGGCTGGAAGGGAGTTGACGCGAAGGGATGAAAAGGAACGGAGGTAGAAGTAGAGGTAGAGAGTAGAAGAGATCGAAATAGGGGTGGTAAGAGTGGTAGGAAGGAAAGAGGAGGACGAGGAAGCAGATGCTATCCGACTGGTGTCACGGATCATGGTCAACTTAAAAGCTTCTGAAAGGCAGGAATGCCACTCGTGCCTTCTGAAAGCTATCTTTTCGACAAGGGAATGGCTTATTCGAGCCTCCGAGTACACGTGTGTCATCCCTTGCGACGACATGTCTGCGTCCATGTATAAAAACACCGAAGGGTTTATCGAATACGAAAACCACCCTTTCTTTGCGTGCAATCGCTTTACTCGTTATGAGCTTGCTCGATAAATGAAGCGTTGACAAAGGATTAATAACTGAAACCTGCCCCTTGTACATACACAAGGTTTCTTCCTCCCCTTGAATATGCATACCTATTTCATAGATAGAAACTAAATTTACACTGCTAATTTACACACGTTCATTGTCATTTATAATACATATTTGTTCATTAATAAAAAAACTCCAAGATAGATTTCTTATGTCTAACTTTAAAGAATTCCTTGTGCCTACATACCTAACTGGATTTGTTAGAATAATGAAACTTTGATTAATTCTCGTTTATTTCAATTCCCAAAATGTTGTAACATATAAACTGAGAACGGCGAGCTTGAACGAAGCGTCGGTGTCGCATATATCACGTTACCGTGTAATTTTAACGTACTAAAAATTTCATAATAAAGTCTGAAGAAAATAAAAACCTGCTCGTTACTTCCGTGCACGCTACACGGTAGTACGTTCATGAAAACTAATTTCCAGTTGACACAGATAGCGAATGAAAAAGCAACGGGAGAACGTAAGGATTGTCGAATTTTGGATTTTTACAGTATTCTGAAAATTCAAATATGTACTTGGTATATGGTAGATATAGGACGGTGGTGTAATTTATTTAGAACGCGTGCAAATTTTGTAAAAATGAAGAAGACACGATAATTTAGAGACCACCGACAAATTCCCGTGTTATTCTTCTGAAAAGTTTTCTCGCTTTCCTAGCGCAGCCGTCAAATGGTGTGGTTTGAAGTACCATTTGTTATTGTCGCGGGAGTACCGATAAAACGATCAAGCTTAATCGAAACGCAACGCGAGGTTACGTGCAGCGGTGAGGTATCACGAAAAAGTGGACGTTGAGCAAAAATTGCGAGCTTCGAGCTTTCTGATCGAGCGACGTTACGCAGAAGTCCGCTATTAACGTGGTCATTAAGCTCTCTGATCGCACGACACCGGTAAAAAACGTTTTCGTTCCGTGCGATTCGAGTTTCAGATTAACTTTGAAGGTTTTCCTTCACGCGACGACGTTTACTCGATCTTTATGAAACTTTAGTTGATAACACGATGATCTCCAAAAAGCGAGTATCGTTTATGATAGATCAAGATCCATGATTCGACGGGTGAAGAAAAACAAAGAGAAGTTTTCGATTTCTTTCGAAAGTCTAAAATAATAATAAGACATGGATGAAGAATGATGGGTACACCTACATGTGACTACAATCACTACAACCGTTTGTAATTGAATTATTAATGGAGATGGTATCGATCAACCGGCTGTCGTAATTTACTTTTGTAACTCACGATGAGACACGAACGGTTGGGCTGGGGGAAAATAAGCGGGTAGAGAAGACAGATCGTTCGCAACTTTCGTTATTTATGAAACCTGCCACGAATACCGCGTGCTGTGAGCTCGTTATCGCGCGCTTCGATTCAGCTTTATACGTCTGCATGGATTCCCGGTCGAATGAAACGCTTGGAAGAAATCGGTATTGTTGAAATAGAAAAGGAAGAATCCTGGAAAACATAATCTTCGCGAAGAGACTTGTTACGAAAACGTCTTTCAATGTGTTTCTCATCATTTTTTCTTTCGATCAATCCTACGCGTTTTAGCGATTTATTCTCATATACTTTTGCAAATTATTACCGTACATATTATTATTATCGTACAAGGTTTCACGTTAGTGCTACAATTTTGCGCCGAAATTTTGCTTATTACGGATCAGATAAATTACTATAAAGTAATCGGTCGAGCAACTATGTACTTTCTTACTTGTTTTCGAATCTCTCGTTTTGCGGACTTGAAACAAAAAAGAGGGTTAGTCGCTAATTTCGAGCCAGGAAACACCCGCTTATTTCGGATTAAGATTGTACTTTCTAATAGCTCTTTATTGTTTTTCGGACATGCAACAATATTACATCTAATTTAATGCCTCGAAGAGTATTCATTGTTACTTTCAAACATCGCCAAGTGTAGGGGACACCCCTATAATGCACCCCTATGGCGAATTAGCTCCATTTGAATGGTCGTACCATCGGAGAAAGCAAGCATCTAGGAGACATTTCTCTGAACAGCCGTGTGTGGCACCAGCTACCAATCTTCTCGAGATCTCTATATTATCGACCACCTATCATTTTCAAATTCACGTTATCTTAAAATTATGTTAGATAAATCTTTCCCTTCCTTGATTCATTCGTTAATTGTATAGTATATATATAGTGATCGTTGACCATATTAGCTGACATAATGATGCGAGGTCAGGTTCAAAGTACAGGAAATTCATTGAGTAAGGAGGACAGAAACGAGATTTGATAACATATAAAAGCATTTTTATTATTAATTATAATTACGCGTGATACAGTGTACAGCGGATACTGATTAAGCTCGTTCATTAATTGAACTGTTTAAAAAGAGATCGCTCTCTCCTCGCGGAAGAGATTCGTTTCTCAAAACGAACGCTCTTTGTTCCACGTCGTCAATCTTTATTTTACACTTTGTTTCGGACCCAGAGGCCGAGATTCGCGACTTCCAAAAGGGGGTACGGTGTTCGAATCTCTTAGAAAAAATAACGAATCAGCTCCTCTCAGTTGGTGATCTTCGCTGGAACTTCGAAACATGCCACCGAGTGATTTCCGTCCATCAGCTCGTAATGTATGACCATGGAGACCTGAAAGAAAAAGTGAAAAAACAAATATTAAAAATTATAACTTCAAATCGTTCAAGACACGTAATTTGAAAATGAAGACACTAACAGTGGGATAAATTTGAAGTATAGGAAACTCTTGCTTGTAAACGTATTCCACTCCTTTCTTCAGAGGGCACCCAGCCGGACTTCCGTCCACGTTGAACATGCTGTTGCATGCGCTGGTCCCATCGACGCCGACGAAGGGCAACGGTACACCCAGAATAGCGGCGTTCACCGAGTTCACCAGGTTCTCGACATCTCGATCTGGCACGATCTTCTCCTCGATCGAATACTTTGTCCTGCGTTTCAATTTACACGGTGGTACGTCGCAGCCGGATATCTTAACCTGATTAGGATCCTCGAAATTTTCTCCTGTAACAGGAAAGAAAGAAAGAAGATGTTCATCAAGTACGTCGAATCTTGAAGCGTTTCCGAAGATTACAACGGCAAGACGAAGATTACATAACCGGATACTAATAGAAGTGGATTTCTCTGTTGACCTCATCGAACCAGCATCTCGCAACGTTTTCATTGATAATAATGCTCGACCAGACGACCAGTTTCTTTTTTATGCTCTTACAATGTATACTTTTGCATATTTCTTTTCGCTGAGAAACTCGATTTACATAATAAAACAAACAGAAGGAAAAACAAAGAAAAAAAATACGTTGAATTGAAGATGCAGGAGAAACTCCGTTTCTCCGGTTCGAAATAATCGATTTCAAGGTGATCAAATGGAGTATATATAAACGGAGATTGTAAGTAGCCACGCACAGTGGAAAGTTTTCTCCTTCAGAAAAAAGAACAAATTAGAACGGTGCGTGCAAGTAATCCACTTATTAACGACAGGCTAAGGAAAATTACGAGCATTCGTGCTCGATGCGCGAGGAAATTGATCGTTTTCAAAGGGAATTGATAAATTTTGGTAACTTAGTAACGTTATTGATGATGAACGTGATGTAAACTTGTATGTGTGTACATTTAAATGCAAACACTACGTTAAGTAGATACAACCGGTTTTGTATGCCTAGTGATCTAACGTATAACTTGGACTTGAGACTGTAAATATGAAAATTATTGATTTCTTAAAGTAACAAGAAACTTTTACAATGTTGTCTGCAAACAGACTAACAATGAGAAGAATAAATTTTTCAATTCCACAGCAATTCGTCCTATAAAAATATATAGAAAATAGAAATGACCTCTTAGAAGTAGTTGGATTTTGATAAAATAAAACTTGTCTATTAAAATTATTAATTTCATCTATTCCATCTATTCCACTACTGAATCAACGCGATCGCACTTTTCGACAGAGAACAAAAGCAACCGTGAAATTCAAACGGTTACGTTTCTATCTTCAAAACTACATTTCAAACTACACTTACGATTTGAATTGAAATCACATTCAGAAAAACAAACGAACCTCCGGATTTCTAGTACAATCTTTCTTTTTACTCTGGTAACGAAAAATCAAACAATCTTGTTACGCACCAGTGCCGCACTTAGTGACTTCCGTGGTACTGGCGAGCACGAGCAGAGCCGCGAAAACGAAAATCGTTTCCCTCAGCATCTTTGGTAAAAGTATCGTGTTCTTAACGAAGAATGTATTGAACAAGGAATCCTGCTAGCCACTCTTGTTGGTTCCAATCAGGTCCAGGTCCGACTCTCGACTGACGGTGAGAGTTGCCGCGGGATGCAACGTTGTGCCCGGTGATTCGTCAAAGTTCAATTTAAATGGATTCCCCTTCCTCGTAGAAGAGGAAGAGCGACCTCGGTGGGGACGCGGGAAAAAAGCGAAATAAAAATGGTAGGGATTCCGTAAATTCATGAAACATTAAAAACAACGATGAAGCCAGGAAAATATAAAAAGACGTGCGAAAGACAGAATCGATCGCGATCGAGCAACATGGAAGATAATTAACCTATTAACCCCGAGCCTTCTAACATCGACACACAATCGTCTCACGGATCGCGATCGATCAACGGGACTGACAATTAGACTTATTTTTCGTAAGATCGATACATTTACTTTTGAAACCGATTCGTTTTAAAAGATGTTTGCAATTTTTCTTTCGACGATTACGGAATCGCCAGAAAAATGTTGACTTTTTTATTTCCTTATAAATAATTGCCATGTCCGTCATTTTTTCTTAAGCAACGCGAGTATAGTCCAGGGTACGATATTTCAAAAATAACTGTCCAAACAATTAACGTCATTCGACACTCGATACGTGCAACAATAGATGAAGTTTCGACAACTTTAATTGCTTAAGAGTCATTCGAACGGTACATATTTGCTGCTGACTACTTTGTGCAAAGACGATTGAGGAGAATTTTATTCTTTCTACACGATAATGATTCTCCTAAACAAGCAATTGTCAAATGCATTAGACTTACGATAGAAACTGATCGTCCAAATGTCAATATTGGTGCAAACTGTGTGATCAGTGATTACTCACTATACATATATACGATAATATCTATACAATACATATTTATTTCGAATCTCTTAAGGATTTTACAATTTTCATGGGTTTATATAACATTTAATGAGCGCTGGTGTAATTAGCACAATTATTCCTTTTGATTATAATCTAATATTTCCAGGTTCGTTTATCGCGTACATAAAATTCATATATTAATAACAATAATCATACTTACCTTCTATTGCAACATTTTAGAATCTTCTTTAATCGTATCTCTCATCATCTCGAGAGTTAATGTCACATACTTTGCAATAACAAATATTCGTGTTCAATGATGTAACAGAAATCGTAGTAAAATCTTCAGACGCAACAAAAGGATCTTTTTAAACGTGAAACTAAAGCAACGCGATCATTCGAACGATTAACGAAAGCCATTCCCTCGATGAAGCTTTAATTCCTTTTTCTCTTTTTCTTATTCGTTCGTTCCGGTGACACGCGGTCGTGTCGCTAAACGGAAATGAAACGAGCTCGCGGTCGCGAGGAACAAAGCACCGGAAATTAACAACGTTCTGTGTCGCTACTCTGGCCATTCTAACAAATGAAATTCCTTTTTTCCACTTACCGGGATAACCTCCGATTAATACCCGTAAACGCGACGCGTTCCAATCCCATCGAAACCCTTCTCGCTTCTTTTCGTCTTCCTTTTCCCTTTTCTCCGACGAATTCGACGATAAAGGTAAAGTAAATAAATAATAAAAGAAATATTTCTACTTAAGCGACCTTCGCGTCGTCGGATCTCGTTTGAAAGCATTACGAAATCTCCTTGAAATCATACCAGCGTGACTTCGAACATAAATAAAGAATGTATAACGAAGAATAGGTGCCATTTGGTTATTTTAACGACTCGTTCAACGAGCTGATGCATTATTACCCGAGGCTAGATAATAATTGCACGATAAGAACAAAAACGAGGTTGAAAAACGCAAAGTGCAACAGGAGAAGTAGAAAGCCAGCTAGAATACCAATTACTGTCGTTAGCGACAGTAACCTTGAGGTAGAAGTAGAGAATTCTTGATGACTCCAACACGACTCGGAATCATTTTAAAAGTCTCGCTGCGTATGTGTATGTTTGATTACCGGGTTCGTTATACAGTTCGGTGTATTCGTTATTCGTACAATTAATCTTTCGGCTATCGAAAAATTGGACGCGTTCGTTTAAACTCCATCTTTATTGATGCAAACAACCTGTGCCGTATCTTACTGCTTCTCATCGCTGCATCGAATATATTTATATTTTTTAATATAAGATAATATCATGATAAATTGGAGAGGAGATGATAATAATTGGAATAATGATAATTATCGGTCGCGTCGCGTCAGTTGGTTCGGTTCGATCGGTTAACTGGTTTCTAAACAATTTAATTGAGTAATTGTAGGGTGGCTGGATTGTAGGCGCCGAATTGAAGATAACTTGCCCCACGTCCGTAGACACGCCAAACTATTTGAATAACATTACGCTTCAAATTGTAATGGATACGAATTATAGTAGATAATTATTCGTACGAGATAGTAAATAAGTACCTACGTGAATTGGTTCAAAGTTTTAGTTTTTAGTTAAAAATGGCATTAATTGCATGACAGTAATATGCTTAATACTATTTTATACTATTAATTTGTTATTTACAATATTTCATTCCTTTTATCATATTACACTTGAGACGTCAATCAGCAATGACCCTCGCAGCAGTAAACGTGTTAATTATTCGATCACGTTACATTTCAAGCATTGATCACCGTTGACCGTCACGGTAGTCAAATGTATTAATTATACATGCCCTGTTCAACGATTTACCTGTGAAAAAATTTCAACTTCAAACTGTAGATTGCTGGTTCATCAGTTGTTAGAAGCATCGAAATTGGACGCAGGATGTTTGTAACGGAAGTGATCGGTATGAAAAATGAACTGAAGAAACGAAGGTTATTAGCGTGGTGATGCGTAAATGAAAATCACGATCCGAGGTTCGCGCGATTCAGCGTTATTCGATTCTCGGAAACGCGATATGAAAAAAGCGACCACGTAAAAATAATTATGTAAGCGAAACACGACTGAAACTTTGCATTGATAGTCGTCGCGCGTATGATCGCTGATATTCTTCGGCGTGAAGCGATTCCCTCAGTCGATTTCCTTGACGCCCACGCTTCCGTACACACATGACCTCTCCTTCTTCGTTAAAGATCGTTGCATGAACGCCAGCTCGCTTTATAGAAAAATATTTCTCCTCGAACAATCTATCTATACGTTACATTTTCTTTTTTGCTGAATTTACCTTTAGGCTGTTATTCGTCTGGCTATGTCGCATACCTCAAGTTACTGCGTTTCTTGTCTATATTAAACTTGCACAGTGCTATGACACATAGCTGCTTGTATAGGAAATAATCTGTTTTAAAATAGCTTTTTTTTTTTTCGTCTATGCTTTGCAAAGACAATTACTTCATTTCGACTAATTAGAACACTGTATAAGAGGCAAAGTAGTTTCTCTCGGCTAAGTAATTACGTCTTAATTTTCTGTGAAACGTCTTCAAAGAAAATGAAAGCTGAACGAGAAATCGTTTCTGCGATGTTTCCATTCGTAGCTAGAATATGTGGTTACGGATTCTATCGAATCGAATAAATAAAATGCCTGCAAATCATCGCGTACCACTGCAAATACGTAATTTCTTTGATGAGAGATATGTTTAATGATTTCCGGTATGCTAGCTTGCATAAATACGTTGTATTACATATCTTTATCGCATGAAAGATTGCGGAAAAACAGGCGGCATTGAATCAACAGCAGACGAAAGGACAAAACTGAAACGCACCTACATACACGTATGAAAATGTATATAATATCTTTATTTTGCGATATGCTAATAATAAATTTGAGTAACGATACCTAAACGAACAATCTTTCGTATTTTAAATATGAGATATGGATCAATCTGTTTTACCAGAGGTCAGTAAAACAGAAATGAAAATCATTTTCCACAGTGATTGGACAGATGCTTCCACCATGAATCTGACTGACATACTCATTATTAGTCGTGACTACAAATGCAACAAGATTAGACACGCCATTGTTTTCAAAGGGTTTTGAATTTGTGCTTTGAGAACGAACGCCATCTGCTCTATTCTAGTATAAAAATTCGAAACACTTCGCGCTGCAACAGTCTAACGCACGTTCGTGGTAATAGAAGATTATCAAAGACTATACCGCATTATTAATTGCAATGACTACAGATTCAACAAGACTAAACATGCTTTTGTTTTCAGAGGGTTTTGAATTTGTGCCTTGAGAACGGGCGCCAATATATCCAATTTGGAACAGCATCCTCCCGGTTTTTTAATTGACTGGCCATTCAATTAAAACAGCCACCCGATTAGTCAACTCCACTCAACTGGAACTTCACGCAACAATAACTTCAATTCTGGATAAATAGGGACACCCTGTACGGGAGCAATCAGTATCGGGTTGTCTCTCGCCCTGATGAAGTAAACTGCAATGTTTACGACACGTCGGCAATAAATCGTCGACCAATGGTGCTCCATCATAAGTATATTCCAAATCTTATACATATATCTATATTTTATTCTCTGCGTTCATTTAATTTGCTGTATTTATCTCCTTAGCTTATTGAATAAACTCATTAGGAAGACGAACGTGTTAATTTTATTACTCCCGTGTATTCCCTACATTCCTTACATCTCCAAATCCCTTACATCTCTACATCTCCTACATCTCTACATCCCTTACGTCTCTTAATCCCGTACATATCTTAATCCCACACATCTCTGTATTCCTTACATCACTGCTGTATCCCTTACATCCCTGCATTCTTTTCATCCCTACATTCCTTACATCTCTTCATCCCTTACATCTCTACATCCCCTATATCTCTACATCCCTTATATCCCTGTATCCTTTACACCTCTGCATTCCATACATCCTAGTACCTCCCTGAAATTGAGTTGAAATTTTTACGGCTATAAGAACTGCGATTTTATACAAATTTAGTTTCTTTTATCGCCACCAGAGGGCGCTGATTCGACATCGAAATTTTAGTTCACATTTTTGCCGCCAGAGGGCCAGAAATTGAGCAAGCTTTAGTTCCTTTTTCCAAAACCAGATGGCGCTGATTCGACATCGAAATTTTAGTTCACATTTTTGCCGCCAGAGGGTCAGAAATTGAGCTAGCTTTAGTTCCTTTTTCCAAAACCAGATGGCGCTGATTCGACATCGAAATTTTAGTTCACATTTTTGCCGCTAGGGGGCGCTCTTTTTTCAAATTTTCGCGAAATTCTCGAAACTAACTTACCTTTACTTACCTTTACTCGAAGCAGTCTTTATAATATATTTATTATAAGGGATGCAGGGATGTAAGGAATGTAGGGATGAAACGAATGTAGGGATGAAAGAAATGTAGGGATGAAAAGAATGTAGGGATGAAAGAAATGTAGGGGTGTAAGGGATGAAGCGATGTAAGGAATGTAGGGATGAAAGAAATGTAGGGGTGTAAGGGATGAAGCGATGTAAAGAATGCAGGGATGAAAAGAATGTAGGGATGTAAGGCATGTAAGGGATGAAGAGATGTAACGGAACGAGGGATGTGAAGGAATTTTGTAGGGGTCCGGGGCTGGGGCCCCGGACTCCACTGCTCGCATCCCCAGGAGTGCCGGCATCGGGTGTGGCCCCCGATGTCGGCGGAGTTTGGCTCATGCCGGTGGGTCAAAGGACCCTCCCTACCGCCCTAGTGCAGGCCACCGTGGTGGTTTTAGTGGGTAAAAATCCCACACTACCTACGGCCCCTCCCCAGGGGGGCTGAAGGTGTCTTTCTGAAGATTTCCACCACGTTAAAAAAAAAAAAAAAAAAAAATAGGGTATTTATGGGTTGCAGGAATGTAAGGAATGTAGGGATCTAAGGGACACTGAGATGGCCTCAGCCTATAATGAGGGATAAAATTATATAAATAACCGGAAAAAGTAAAATAAATGAAGTCTTCGGCTAAGACCCAGAAGAGGGATATAATCATAAATGTTATTTCCCTTCGATGAGCTTATTTAATAAGCAAAAAAGAATAAATGAAGTATATTAAATAAACTCTGGAAAAAATTTATACTGGTTGTGCCCTCTTCATACGGACCTGATTTCATCCGGGGGTGTTAGAGCCACTGTGTACCGACCTGATATCATATTGGGGTGTTAAAGACCCCAAAATGCCGATGACTATCTGTGCATACCAATAATATAGCATCCGGGGTACCAGAGACCCCGAAGCGCCAGCGACGATGTCTGCATACCGACCTGATATCGTCTTGGGGTGTCAGAGACCCCGCAGCACCGTTGACACTCTTTACATACCGACATAATGGCATCCGGGGTTTCGGGGACCCCGATGCACCGGCAGCGCTCTCTGTATACAGGCCTGATGTCATTTGGGGTGTTAGAGACCCCGAAACACCGGCGACACTATATACCGACATAATTGCATCCGGGGTTGCAGGGACCCCGAAGCGCCGGTGACTATCTCTGCATACTAATAATATAGCATCCGGGGTGCTAGGAACCCCGTAGCGCCAGGGACAATGCATACCGACCTGATATCGTCGTGGGGTATCAGGGACCCCGCAGCACCGTTGACGCTCTTTATATACCGACATAATGGCATCCGGGGTTTCAAAGACCCCGTAACACAGTTGACGCTCTTCATATACCGACATAATGGCATCCGGGGTTTCAGAGACCCCGATGTACCGGTAGCGCTCTCTGCATACAGGTCTGATGTCATTTGGGGTGTTAGGGACCCCTAAACACCGACAACATTACCTACCCACATAATGGTATCCGGGGTTTCAGGGACCCCGACGCGCCGGTAATAATGTCTGCATACCGACTTAATATCATCTGGGGTGTCTGGGACCCCGCCGCGCCGGTCTCTGCATATCGAGATGTAGGTAAAAAGGAACACGCCTTTACTTCAAATAATTTATTTCAAATAAATTGTTATAAAATTGTATTGGCAACGCAGTTACGTTTATGTACAATAAAGTAGCCAAATTAATACAATGTTTATTTAGGCGGTGGAAGAGAATAAAGAAAAGAGTTGAAAAATAGAAACAAAAAAAGAAGAAAACGTTTTTACATTCTATAAGAGAATAGTCTACTTGCAACAACATTATGTAAATACATTTAACGGTAAGTTAGCAGCTTAAACGAAATAATTGCAATTGTAATAATAAATAATTCAGTTGAATCATCAGTCAGATATGTATATGTATTCGCGGTAAATGATTGTAGATGGAAAAATAAATGATACGGATAGAAGGAAAATTTCGTTAAGTATCTACGATTTTCGCGTCCTAAAACAAAGCTCATCGCGAAAGGAGGTCACGATAAATCCCGTCTTTTCCTTGGCCTGGATTTCAAAGATAACAGGCCAGAGTTTGTGCAATCACCTTTTGCTCTGCCACGAAGATATACTCTTCCAAGCTTTGTTCTTCGACTACTGTTTACGAGATACTGCTATAAGCTTTTTACCGAATGCATTTAAAGTCCGCGGATGCATTAAATCACTCGCGGAAATAGTCCATGGCTCGATCCATATCCGAAAGAGACAATGCGATATCTTTTTTTCTCACTTTAAAAATACTTTGCATAAAACAGTACGTAGAGAATGCGCTTCGAACGTGCTTATAAAAATTTTACGATTGTTTTGAACACGTTATCTATAAATTTACTTAACAGCGAATTCGTACTATTTATATTTGATTCGATAAGCCGATAATATTTTTTAATTACTGGATTGAATTTAATGGAATACGGTGGAGATGTCACGTTGAAATGGAAACTGTAACAAAATTTTAAATTTGTATTTTGTTTTCAGGTTGAAATCAATTTTCAAATTGAAAGCAATAAAATTTTCATTAAAAGTTACTTCTTACCCATTCCATGTATATTACAAAGTTTTAGTATTATAAAATATAGTTGTTACGAAACTTTACTTTTATTACAAAAACAGGAAAGTATGAAGCTAGGACATGGTAGAATTTTAATATATAAAAGAAAAATGTTAACACGAAATCGATGTGTTGTTTTATTTATATACAATATTTACAAAGGCATATTGTTAATCGATTCGCTAATAAATGTCTTCGTACGCTTAAACGTGTACAAGGTGGCGTAAGCATAGCTTTAGTCTTCTTTCTTTTTATTTATTGATTTATTTTATTTTTTTTTTAATTTTCTTATATCCTGTTTCGCTGACAAGAGCATTACATTTACGGAGCTCGTTTCTTCTTTGACTGAGCTCTTTGGACCTGGTTTCTTTTATCTCAATCAGTTTGTTACAAAGATTTTCTCCGATTCTTAAGTTGACTTTTAAATACAGCTCTCCTGGATCACGGCACTTCTGATTACCGTCTCTGAGTATCGATGCGGCCTTTGAAGGCTATAAAATGTCTGCAACAATCAATTGTACAATGAACTGTTAAGTTAACATTATACCTTGTTTCTATCTTTCTTTTTGTTTTCGTACAACGAAACGGAAAATTTGGTTTTTGCTTACGTTTGGCGATGCACGAGGATAATCCGAATCCTCTGGGACTTCGTGGGTCATCTCTCGACCTTCCAGCTGACGCGGCCTTCGTGGTAAGGAGCCGTAGTGCAAAAGCTTTCGGTCTGAAAGAAATTTCATCGCAGTTATTTTTACAAAACGAACCTAAGCCATTAAAAATATGTACCTGTAAGATGATTGGTCAAGGCAGTGGTAGGTATGAGATCCGGATTTCCGTCCTCCTCTTCGCCCTTGCCAGCAAAAGTCGCGATAGTTGGCTGCTGGGGTGGCTTTGGTTTGGTCGGGGTAGCCGCGTGTTTTCGCCAAAGTGCCATTAGTACTCCGGTCACGATTAACCCTAAACCGGTTGCGGTGCCGCCAAGTCCAATCAGAATCGGCGACATGTCCACCGACGATACCGATTCGCCTATAAACGAAATCTCTACCGATCCTACTCTTATACATAATGCATTCGACAACGTACGTGGATAAATTTAATTTCGTTTCTTTCTCTTATTCTTGCTCTTTATCGGTTTGTACTACACTCTCTATCTGAAAATAACACGTACGATAGTGCATTCTGTTTCGTGAACATTCGTATTTTGCGAATAGATCTTTTATACTTAAACTTTCAACAAGTCGATTAATGCGTAGCGTTTCACATTTTTTTATTTCCTTGTTAAATTGAAAGAGCGAAATTTAACTTGGAATAAATGATTCATTTAACTCTGGTGTATTTTAATTTCATCTGATTTCTGTGTCCCGTTGACTTGACGTTAGTTCTTTCAACAACGTATCTTTGTGACCGTGGAGATTAATGAACGTTACACGGTGTGAAATTTCGAGGTAGGAAAGCTGTCTGGGACGGTAGTTCTATTGGAGGATAGATGATACGCGGGCAAGTGAAGGGAAGAAACGGACGAGAGAAAACAGAATGCATAATAATAGCTCATAAATTTTGAGGCTTGTTTCCGGATTCTGGTGGAGGTCGTTGTGCTGACAAGCGACGTCCCATTCCCAGCATCCTCTCAAGATTTCCTGTATCTCCTGTGATTGTTAGCAATTTTTCTTATCCTTCAACATTTTAGCCAGATTATATTCTCTT